AGGGGGGAGGAATAAGTCAGGATTTAAAAAAAAAAAAAAAACCCACAACCCCCTTCTTTGTTGCACATTCAAAATCCCTCTCGCCTCTAACCCTAATTTCCTCCAGAGGATTCTAAACCAACCACAGAAAGGGAGAAAGGAGAGAAACACTTCGATTAACTTGAAATCAGAGGTTCGTATACAGTACCTGATTTCGGTTTCGAAAGATTTGATGTAGAGATCCCCAGTTGTTACCGCAGTTCACGAACAGAAAATGCACAATGAAGCTTCTCGCAGAAGTTTTGCAGGAAAAGAAATGTAAGTAAACTTTTTTCTGCAGAAAAAAATGCTTATTTATACTTCTGGGCAAAATTAGATCTCAACGGCTAAGATTCATTTAATCTTACGGTTCCTATTCACGCCGTTTAGAATTCGACGGTCAACCCTAAACGATACCGTTTTGAATTTGACGGTTCGTTTTTTAATTTTTTGCCCGTTTAACTGTTGCGGTTATCTTTTTACGGCCGCATTTATTGCGCACGTCATTCCAAGGACAACTGTCACACCTATGTCAGTACTACACGGGCCCACCTACGCCCATTTCAACACCTCTGTTCACTTTTGCATATTCTCAATTGTGCAAAGTGTTTCACCTCGGATTCAACCACAGTAATGCTGCATTACATTTCACATCGACTTCGGCTACAGTAATTCAATATCACACATTTTATTTCGGCTACGGCCATTATGACCTCAGTCATTATATTTTATTATGGCCTTGGCCATTTTGACTTCTGTCTTTATACTTGAACCTAGCTCAGCACTTCTGTTTACTTGTACAATTATAATTGTTAACTGCTTTACTTCGGCTCCGGCCACAGAGAACACATGTTTTACTTCGGTCCTGGTTATTGTGACCACGTCACATACTCTACCTCGGCTCCGGCCATCATGACTACGGTCATCACATTTCATCACGGCTCCGGCCATTATGACTCCGATCATCATATTTTATTACGGCTCCGGCCATTATGACTCCGGTCATCATTTTCCATCACGGCCCCGGCCTTTATAATCCCAATCATCATTTTTTATCATGACCTTGACTACATTATGACTCCGGTCATTATTTTTACCATGACTACGGCCATGGTCACTCCGATTATACTTTATTTAAGGCACCCCAGTATGACCCATTGTTACATCTTTCATTTTTAGCTACGGCTATGTTTAAATTTAAGTTACAGCTTTCTCCCTTATATTTCTATAACTTATCTGTATTCTCTTTGTTCATACACTCTCCTCATTATCCCCAGCAACATCATTCACAAGTGAATGACTTCGGGGGGGGAGGGGGGAATAGTGTAAGGACAGGGCCGAGGTGCCAAGCCTCGGACTGCTACAGTAATTCCTTTATGACCGAAGTGAGGAATAAATCCAAAACTTCCCGCTCAAATAGCTGCATGACAGTGACAATAAGCATGCCCGCACCTAATTCCTTATGATGAGCGGCACAGCAAGTATGGTAGACATCCGTATATATGAATACCTCTCAAATTCCCGGTCCCGAAATAATCGTCTGGTTGGGCACGTCAGGCTCCGATTATCTTGCTTGGCATGCCACGTGGGCTCCTCTTTGGATCCTATAAATACCCCCCCGGGCCACGTCAAAAAGGTAATTGAAACCTACCCTAAGCTCCTTTTATCTCCGCTCCAGAGGTAACCCCGATTATTGTTGACTTAAGCATCGGAGTGTCTACCCCGAGGTCCACCTCGGGTCTTTGCAGGTCATTCCGGAGTGCAGTTGCGGACTGAGGAAGGACTTCTGGTTTGTTGCAATTACAGAAGGAAACCTGAAGATAACAGCAAGCAAGAAAGTGAAAGCTGGGATCAAGTTAAGTATTGCTGAAGTAAGGGTAGCGGAACTGTATCTTCACCAGTTAACATATGATTCTGCATTACAGTAATTCTGCAAAACCCAGATACACCATCGAATTTCTGCATTCAAGGAACCAAACCCACTTCTTAAAATCAACAAAAGTAACTTCCTTGAGACACAATTTCTCACCCAACAAAGCTAAGGAGGAAAAATTTGCAAAGCACAGAGAAATTGATTGGAGGCCTCTTTGTCCTGCATACATAAGTAGAACCATTTAGCATCGCAAAAACTAAAAACTGAATAATAAATATATAGAGATAAAGTGGATCTTGTTGATGATGGGAAAGACCAATTTAGGAAGAAGGCAATGGGGGGGAGGATGAGAGAGTGCAAAGCGTTTCCATAAACAAACCAAGACAAGGAACTCGTCCCCTTTGACGTGGCTGCTTTGTTGAGAGTGTTCAAGCCAACTTCCCGACACTCCAGCGACACCATCGCTGCAAATGGGGCCTCCCACCAAGAACAACTTCATCCCCATCTTTCTTTCACTCACTCACTCACCCTTCCTCAGATTCTGGAAATTATTGAAGATGCTTTTCAGATTCTATTTCTATTGGTGGGAAGAATAACAGAAAAGTCAATAATAAAAGATTCCGTAAGATTTGCCAGCCACAGGTAGCTTAATTAGCTGTTGCAGCGAAATGCATTGTGGTTAAATTGAAATGGTAGTATTTAATAAGCAAAACCATTAGTTAAGCTCCTAAATTTATCTTAGATTTTCCATTAAACTCTTAAACTTTTATTGAAGTAAATAAGCCTTTAAATTTGATAATTTAAACAATTTAACTCTTTTTCTTACAATGGACTTAAAGCTCATTTGTGTCTTACTTGCATGAATAAAGTATTGATACGTCATTGATTATATGGCAAATATGGACTTTATCTATGCAAGTAAGACATAAATAGATATTAAGTCTACTATAAAGAAAAAATTTAATTACTCAAGTAGTCAAGTTCAAAGACTTATTTGTTCCCCTAAAAGTTTAGGAACTTAATTAATTAAGAATTTGGGGTAAGTTTGTAGGTTTAATGTAGGGTTTTGTGTATTTAATATTTAGTAGGTATTACAATTAAAGTTAAATAGAGATAGTATGATGTCCCATGGGGCAAGCTTATATATATGCTTATATATATATATATATATATATATTTTGAACAATATTACATGGGGCAGGGTTGAACCCTGCCCAGGGGGGTGGGGGATGCATCAGGTGGTCTCGGAGACCACTTGGCCCAAAGGGCCGGATGCTTATATATATGCTTATATTATTAAAAGAAAATTCATAATTTAAATAATTATGAAGGAGGGAGGCAAGATTATAAGGTATGAAGTCACCAACAACGTTGCTAGAGTGAAGCAAGGAAATAATCAAATAAAACTTTTTAGTAAATGTCAATTCCAACTATCTCCCCTCACTCCCAATAAGGTATGAAGTGGCCGAGAACAATGTCAAATATACCAAAGGGAGATGATAAGATAAAATCTTACTAAAGATCCCAACTATCCTTCCTCCTCATGGGCATTAACTAGCTTATTAAATCATATTTAAAATTTTAGTAGTCGTGATGGGAATTAACCTCTAACCCAACATCCAACATAAAAGCCAGGAATTTTGAATAACTTTTAATTCAGTTTGGGTTGGCATTTTAGTTAACCAGTCTGGGTTGAAAGAAAAAAAAAACCATTTCAGTGAAAAACAAAGTTTGCAACTTTTCCCTCAAATGATGGCCGACAAGGCAACAACTTTACTTGGACTTAATTGCACATTGATGATAAGTTCAAGGGTTAGTTGATGCATTTATTTCAGAAAATAACGGGTCTGAGTATTGGGTCGGAGCTCCAACAGGCTGATGGGCTCACCAGCTGAACACTACAGGCCTACAGGGTCGTCGAGGCTGGAGCTGGGCAGACTCCGGATTCCAATTTGACGACTTCTTTCCGGTTTCGAATCCAATTTCTCTGCTGGTGGAAAATTCAGTTTAGAAGGAGATGGGTACGGTGAACCCAGTTTGGAAGAATTGTTGGAGCAGAGGAAGCGAATCAGGAACCCTCTTGTTCCAGTCAGTAATGCCCCTTGCAAATTTTCATTATTTTTTAAGTTTAATCTGTTTGGACTCTAGTTTTGAATCTTTCTGTCTGTTTTCTAGGCAAATTTTAAGGAAATGAATGAAATTGAAATGTGCTTGCTTGCAAGTTGAAAACTTTTCGTTCAGTTTTAGGGAATTTGAAATTTGGTGCTGCAGATCCATTTTCAAGAGAAAAACCCTTCTTTTGGAATAATTTTGTTATTATGATTTATTGATAAAGTGATCTACTTGGATAGTTGATTTGGAGAATTGATTGTAGGCTTTGACAAGGAATTGCATAACTCCTGCCAGAAGAGGTTTCAGACAACTTTTATAAATTTATATGGCGACTGAGGTTGCTTCACTTTTTTCTGCATTGCCTCTGTGAGACTGTGACTATGATTGTTAGTTATTCTTAGATCAAATAGAGGCACAGTGTTAAAGGGTTACTTGCAGTTTAAATAGAAGTTGGGCACTGAACTCTTGCTTTCAGCAAAAGCTTTAGAAGAGAAAAAAAGCTTGACCCTCCATATGATGGCCAGAAAATTATGTTATTTTATGTCATTTTGTGTTTAGAATTAGCTAATCTTGATTGATTCATTCTGTGTTTGTATGGATGATGATCAGTCCAGCACTTGGAAAGTATGTTGTCTCTTTTTTTCTAGTTATTATTATCTTTACATTTTTGGTTGGTTTATTGTGTGGAGGAGGGTTAATGCATCAAACTTTAGTATGATGATCAATTCTTCAATCTTGATAGGAATGGCTCAAAGCAGCAGTGGGCAATTCTTTTTTCAATTGTGGGCAGAAATTTCTTGATGGTAAAATTTTGAAGGCATGGGAGGGAGATGCATAATATTTAATTAATTCTCTGTTATTTCTTAGGCTGGTAGATTTCTTGCTTCATTTTGGCATTTTAAATTGCTGTTGTGTTTATATTTCTATGAAAAATCTCTAAACCAGCAAGTATACTGCAATATTTACAGCCCTTTCCTTTTCATTCTTAAAAACTAGTGGCTTTATTATTATGTTTCAGTTTATTTAACTGTTGTGAGTTCAACAGGTGCACTTATGACTATGGGGGTGCTCACTGCTGGATTAATCAGTTTTAGGCCAGGCAATTCCAAGTTGGATCAGATGTTAATGACAGCTACGGTGGTTGTTCAGGGGGCAACAGTGGCACTTATGGTTTGCACAGCATGCTACTATGATGGAAATCTCTGGAAATCGAGTTAGACTCTCTAACTTGCTTTGCGTTTTTGAAAGTATCACGTTGGTTCTTCTTACCTGAAAACAATACTATACAGGGGACACAGGACAATGTTCCTCATTGGGGAACTTATAAGTGTTAATTTCTGCCTTTATTTTTGTCATAGCCCATTCTAAGCCTTACTAGCTATGAGCTATGACATACAATTGTACACTCTTAACAAATAAAATGTAATTCCAGTAGAAGTTAAATAATGATGATTTGTTTTGAAAACACATTTCTATCCATTGAAGATCTGATAATTTAACTGATAGTGGTGATGCTCTGTACTCAAACACAAGATATAACGCAGGGGAGCATTTATCTGTTGAGAAACATTAGCCAGTTGGATGTTTAATTCCTGTACATAAAATTGAACTAACTTCTAAGCTGCTGGAAACTATGCTCAATTTTAGGAACTGGGAAAATTTCAAATAAGCTGGTTTTCATAAACTAGAAACCGTTTAAACATCAGAACCTTAAGTTTAGTGTCCAAAATATGTTCAGTTTAGACCAGCTTTACAAAATATAGAGTATAGTCTTCTCATAAAGTATGCTAACTGAATTGTCAAAGATGAGCTAGGATAGTTTTTGTTAGAGTTTACAAACTTGTCTAACCAAGTTCAGGCTTCCAGGGAAAAGCTCCTAGCTTCCTGAGGTCCTTGTACTCCCTTAAACTAGGCTAACCTGCAACCTGTTAAACTAATTTGTGAGCTAATAAGCCTGTAAGTGGATGTTACTAACCAATCTATAACCAAAAACTTTTAATCTGTTAGTGAACAAATATAGGCAATACACCAAGTTCAAAACACGAGACAATCAATTCTTAACAATTCTTAGTTAGCAAAACAGTTTAGGAGATCTGGTTAACAAATAGATGGGCACAGACAATGGCAACCAGATTCACAATATCATTCTATGGAGTCAATAAACAATATGTGGTGCACACACACAATAAACTAGGTCCTGCCTTGACTATTCCCTACTGCCAGAGGTCAATGTCTATACAATAAGTTGCTAACAACAGCACAATGAGTACCCAGTTTTGTTCGGGTCTATATCTCCATAGAAAATTATAACAATAAGCATGATATCATATATTTATACCACTGGATATATCAGAGCAATTTCAATAACAAGCATGCAAGTCTTTTAATTCAATAAATTCACAATTGGAGCATGTAGAAGCATTTCTATTTCCATTCTAGTCTTTTTGTTTACCTTGAAACAATTCCTAACTCAGTTACTTAACTTATTTGCAGGTAAGTTGATCCTTATACCCTTAAATCATGATGCATACTCACGAACATTCAGCTAACACATTTGCATACTGCAACCAGGTAAATGCCTAGCTGTTGTACAGATTTTTAGTCATTAAATTAATCTATCCTTCGTCACAGATTTAACAAGTAACAAACTCTTGCCTTTACCGTACACAAAACCTGATATGGAAGAACTCCTATAGCTTCTTCAATTTCCTGTGTTCTGCTGCCCAGCAGAACTTCCCACCTTTTCTTTTCCTCTCTCAGCTGAAGGGTCGGTGCAAAATGATAAGTTTGAGCCTATATTCATTCAAACTTTAACAATTCAGACGAATAGACAACTTTAGTGGAAAATCAATGAAATCCACTAAATCTTCTAAAAGTCTAAACATGCAGACCTTTTACATCGAACTCTCACTGTTACATGCAGCAAACAGAATAACCATGCATATCTAATCCCAATCTGTAAATAGTTAATTCGCGCAATCTTATCAGCTTCTAATATTAAGTTCTATAAGTTCTATTATCTTAACAATTAAGGCCAGAACTTCCTAGCTTATGACAGATAGGGATAATAGTTTACCCAACCATGCAATTAAGGACTGGTTTATGACACTTTTGTATTTCAAATATGGAATTTTATAAGTCTACTGTCAATAAAATTACCATTCCAAGAGATTAGAGAAGATGCATTTTCAGCCACTGGTATTTAGAAACTATTTGAATGTTATGGTCTATTATTTTAGATAATACCATTTGATGATTGCAGAAGGCTGCTTGATTTGATCGAACATTGTGATTCATTTGCTTAAAGAGAAGCATTTTTTTTTTTTCATATCTGCTAGCAAAGGGAGTGTCTCAAGTTTTTGATTGGCCAAAAAAGAAGGGCAAACCACCATTTTGCTCCGCAACTTTATCTGTACTAGGAGTTTGCTTCTCGACCTTGATTTATAAGAAAATTGAACCAACGAGTGACCTTTTCTTGTGACATGGGCAATTCTGGCTGACATGGAACTATGGGCGGGTTTCGACCAAAAAAAAAAAAAATTTTGTTTTTCAATCATTTTCCTTCAACAAACCCATTCCTGATGTGTCAAATTTAACGATTTCAGTTGGATGGTTTTAATAGACATAAATTTTACAAATATTTTTTTATACTCTTTTCCCTAATATTTTCCTGCAATTTCTTCACAGCCAAACATGGGTTCCTTTTTTTTTTTTACCAATAACCAAACAAAATTTTGGAATTTTTTTTGTGCATTTCCTTTCCCCCAACCAAACAAACTTTCATATTTTATATTTCTTGCATTTCCTTTACAACCAAACAAAGAATGAAAAACCAAATGAAAATGAAAATCGAAATAGACGAAATCTGGAAAATAAAAAAGTGAAACACGATATATTTTCACACAAAAGGTTGATACCATAAACGAAGACATTACAAAATTACAAAAAATACAAATTATTTGACACCATAAAAGCCGTTAAGGAAGATGCGTCAATAAGTGCTGTCCATTGACCATCTCTTAGAAGATTACTGATCGAAACGTCCATTTATAAGCATCAGCAATGATGAAATATGACGAGTTAACCAAAATGTAGATGGGAAGTATAAGTAGGAATATTAGAGTAGCTGCCACCCACGTCCTTTGCAACATAATCGTAAGAGCAAAAATGAAGGCCAGGATCATCGTTATTATTGAAATTATGAGTAAGGGAATAGCCAACATCAAATGCAAGGATCTAACTGCGAGAGGATAATTGGATGATGTGAGTAAAACCAGAAATGCCAGCATTGAAGTTGATCCAGTAAGGAGGGAGACCGCATCACATATTAGAAACCCGGAAAACAGTTTTCTGTGCAATAATATGGGGATGCCGGTTTCTTGATTGTTCCCGCCTGGAACTGTGAAAAGTGCCGCAAACATAATCGTGACAATTAAAACGGGTATGAGAATGTAAGAATCTGCAGTTTTCTTTATCCATTCCTCCGCTTCTTTTATCAATTTCTGGTGTTCTCTGTCGAAAACTTGGACTGGAGTTTCACCATAAAGATTTTTGGCGGTTGTGTACCCTTCTGGTAGGGCCAAACGAACCTCCTGCCATTTCATAACAGTATTAGCCTTAAAGTTTAAAGTGAAGTGAAAAAGAAAAAAAAAATGAAGAACAACC